TGTGACAGGCTGGAGGGAGCTGGCTGTGACGGCGTTCCCTCCAGCCTGTCTCCTCCTCTGCAGCAGTGGTGTGTCCTCACGTCCTATACACGGTGTATAGAATGGGATGACCACTGTAGCAGAGGGGGAGAGACACTGGAAGGACCGGTCTAAGAGCAAGCCAGCTTGGAGGATCAGGCGAGTATAACTGTTATTTTCCTCCCTAGGTGAAAACAAGCAGTTAACCCCTCGCAGTCTGGCTACTCCTCCTACGTTGTTCTTTAACAAACATCAGATAAGCAAACATATCGATAGGGATTGCTCTTCTTCACAAGGATGAGTATGGCGATTGATTTCCTAAATACCTGGGAGCATGCGGCACGTTTGTGTAACATGGGGGCAGAGAATCTTGGGAAGCTGTGCTCTGCCAATAGAAGTGAAGCTCCAGGTAGACAGCATTTTATTATATCTATTAGGGATGCACCCATGCAGGTTTTTCGGTATCGAGTACCGACAGTCCAATTAAGGCAGCCGGGCAGCATGTAATGATTTATCCTCCCGGCTTCCTGATTAGGTGGGAAGCCATCTCCATGCTCCCTTGTCCCCAGGTGACGAGGGAGCATGGAGACAGGTGCCGGGCGCCGTGTAATGACTTGTTACACGTGATTCTGATTGGCCAGCTTCCCAAACAATCAGGAAGCCAGGCAGCGAGTCATTAAGCGCTGTCCGGCTTCCTGGTTGGCCAGAAAGCCGGCTCCATGATTTGGGAGCATTTTGGCAAGTACTCGCCCAAATACTCGCTATCGGCACCAATACTAGAATTGGTATCGCTGCATCCCCAATATCTACTGTTTAAAAGCGAGCACTGTTGATTGTCATGTCTGCATCTGCAGACTATTATCTTTGGGTTTTTTTTATTCTGCTTGGATAGCACTTATCGCTCTAGTGACATTTATCCGTCCCTCCTCTCCCCTTGTCCGTCCCTCCTCTCCCCTTGTCCATTCACAGAGTGCCTTGTAGTCTGTCACCTGATCACAAATACAAGGCAGATAAATGACACTAGGGCAAGATGCAGCTCTCATAGGCATAGCAGTGGTCCAGGAAGGATTTACAAATAAATGTATGAGCATGTTACATAGTATTTGAGGTGGAATAAAGACACAGTTCGACAATACTGTCAAGATCCACCCTGCTGCGTGAGTGACAGCGGCTCTGCCTATCCAGAGGCAGAGCCAGCTGTATCCGCCCCCTCCCCGTCTGTTCCTCCACTCAGCGCTGGGGGATCAGAGAGGGGAGGGGGGAATCCCTGCGGAGATCGGTGACTGACAACTGCACTCTGCAGGGAGATGATCGTGAAGTGAGTGAGCGACGGTATGTGTTCTCTCACTTCCTGATCAATAGAGCCGACAGGCCAGCACATCCCCAACGTAGGTGGTGAGAATGGACCCTCGAAAGTTATAAAATATTATTACACACTTTTCTTTTTTATTTTTTTCCTTAGCCCAATATTGACGGGTTTAGTTCAAATATACTTTGTTTTGCTTTTTTGTGCTGACTAGGTGGCTCTGGACATGACATAAATGACATTTGACCCGGTGACACACTGAGCTAAATCTTCTCTAACTGCTCGGATGAGCTGAGCTGTTTTTTTTTTTTCTGTTTTCTTTTGAATGTTTCCTGTTTATACATGTTTACAAATAGACTTCCTCATTACACCTGTTTGAATGAACGATTACATCCGCCCCTGCCGAACACATCACAAATAGCGCCGCCAGATAAACCTGGGAGTGTGCGCTTCCAGTTGCCTCTGACTGTCAGTTGTGGGTAATTGTCTTTGTGTAACACACCCCAGAGCCTTGCCCTAAGTCCCCAGTAATCCCAAAATATACACGTGGGAAATTTCACTTTGTCAGTAAATGGATCAGAAGCTACGAATATGACTTAAAGCTCAACTCCGGGATCAGATGCAAAGAGAGACCTCCGCCGCTACTTCCACGGCACAGTTCCATTGCTTGGGTTTGTTGTAGGTGCTGCCCAGAGAGCCGTCCATACTCCACAGCAAATACAATCCACAAAAACAGCTGCACACTGCCAATCTTCATGCAACAATTCTTGAATTGTAAAATCCAGTCAGCTCCAAGCTGTAATCCTTGCTCCTGTGCATTGTCAGGAGAAGGTGAGCCTCCACTGTGCTCGAGAAGGTGAACAAGGCAGGCCCTTCTCATTATCTCTCCCCCCCCATAAACCACTGTCATCGGCCAGCCTGAACTGTTTAATTTGTATGAACTGCCCATTGAATTAGATGTGCGTTCATGGGCGGGGAAAGACATCGAGGGACCGGCAGCAACACTACACCGCTGTTACACAATTGTTAGCCCTGCACGAGTGAGAGAGCAGCAGTGGTCAGTTGTATAACATAATGGGGCTTGTTTTAGTTGACAACGTTAGCTGGTCACTGGTTTTGAATGCAGACTGTGTTTAAAGTGGAAGTTCACCCTAGAATTACTAATTGAACATTTCATATAACACATGGACCTTGATAAATGCATAGCATCATCTGTCTGCACTTCATTTGTCCAGCAGTCAGCATTGGAAACTGCTGGCTACAACCATGTAACCCATAGTGTTGTCCATTTCCCCCATTCTATCTATGTGATTGACAGCACCAGGGCACAGAGGAAGTGTTTACCAGTCAGGCTTTGCAATCACTGGACATTGATAGCATGTGGGGGGGGGTCACTACTGGTTATAGTCGGGAGCTTTGCTGATAATCACCCTTGCCACAGTCATGCTAGCTCCAAAGGCCCCCCTTCCCCCTCTGCCCTCACTATTCAGAACAACTGGAAGAGATCATATTTAATTGAGAACTATTATTGCATCAAAAAGAGGGTATTTGCAACATATTTTAATGAACAATACATGGAAGCTATTCAATGAGTTTCCTTCAATGGTGTGGTGGCCATGGCCAGTTCTACAGCAGCGCTAATGTTTGTCTTTGGTATGAAGATCTGGTTGTAAATACTTTTATATTTCACTTTCAGACTGGACAGGTTGTGATGAGGATGAAGATGCCCATGTCTGGGAGGATAATTGGGATGATGACAATGTAGAGGACGACTTCTCTAATCAATTAAGGTAATGGAGGTGTTTTGAATGGCAGTTTCATCTGAAGTTTGTTGTAGGTATAGCAGACTGCATTAGAGAAGTAATGGAATAGTTTATCCAGAATGAAATATAAAGCCATACTTACACTTGTGAATAAATACACGGTACAACTTTCTTTCTCTAAAGGGAACGATATATATTCAAATGTATGTGGACACCCCTCCAAATTGAGTTTGGGTGTTCCAAGTGACAGGTACTGTGCATGTGCCATACAAAGACAATTATGAACTTCCAACCTTGTGGTAACAGTTTAGGAAAGGAAGGCCCGTCTCTATTCCCGCATGACTGTCCTCTAAAAATAAAGCCTACTGAACACCTTTGGGATGAATTGGAACACCATCCGTGAATCAGGTCTTCTCATCCAACATCAGTACCTGGCCTCACAAATGCTCTTGCAGCTGAATGGCCACAAATTCCCACAGACACACTCCAAAATCTTGTGGAAAGCCTTCCCAGATGAGTGGAGGCTGTTATGGTCACAAAGGGGAATCCAACTCCATATATGCTCATGGTTTTACAACTGGATATCCAACAAGTTCACATAGAGTAGTTGTAATGCACAGGAGTCCTTAAACGTCCTTGTGTTATTACATCATACAAAGAGGACTGTGTGCTAGCGGGGCTTATACTTGATAAAGGGAATTTAGGAGACTGTATGATGAAGGCTGGCTTATAAGCTGCATGCACATTCCAGGCCATTGAAGCGCCTGTTCACCATCACACTGCATTGGAAGTAGTATACAGACTGTGGAAGCCAAAACAGGTATTTAGCTCAATGACAGGTTCTCTTTTTACATAAATTGGAAGTTAAAACAAGGCAATACATGTGATATTTCTTTGCACTGTGTGCTCTTGAATTTAGCAACTACTACATTAGGTGTGGGATAGGTTTACTTGAAAGTACAGTTATTCTTGAACTGTGTTATAGACAAGTTTTAACCTCTTATCAGCCGGCATTTCTCAGGTTTTAGTACTAAACTCAATAGATGTGTCCATTTGTCAGCTTGTGTAAGAATAGAATTAGGACTCTCTCTCTCCCCCCCCGAGATTGGAGTACTGTGCACAGCAAGGTTAGGCTTCTCTCCTCAAACCTGAAGTCCAATCCAGTCTGCTTATATTTTGCCTTACTTTGTGTACTTTTTACCTCCATCTCAAGTACATACCCTATTATAGGCCCAGTGACATCATCATTGGGTCTCTGTACTTCTCTGTGCAATGCTGGTCGATCACAGCTAGTGGGAGGGGCTAGCAGGGTGTTGTACATAGGGCTAGGGGCTAGCAGGGTGTTGTACATAGCTTACTGAAAACCTCACAGCACCCTGCCTCTGTACTCTCAAGACCTCAGCCGTGATGCAACCTGTGGACTGGATCTTGGAAGAAGCTATGCAAAAATCAGAACCCCCTGATGGCAGGTGTGGGCATCCTAGACAGGCTGAATTTACGTGAAACCACCCAATGTAAAGCCCACTCTGCACCTCTGTGATTAAAGGGACAGGGTGAGGAAGAAGGAGCTAGATAATGCTGGATGTCCTCCAGCCAGGAAATTAGGCCTTAAATGAAGTCTATTTGACTTGCTGCAGCTTCTAATGTACATTGTGAGACACTCTGTGTGTGCAGTGTAATCAGAGTAAGACATTTCATTCTAGGAAGGCCGGAGCAACTATGCAAGAATGAAGGGAAGGCCGGAGATCAGCTTCAAATCCTTGCAAGATTATATCTGCCCACAAGTAATGGTCTGTTTGGCCTCCTTTGGTGCTTTTGACAGCCTCCTGGGGGTACTCGTGTGATTAGTACCCCCAGGCCAAGACAGGATTATGGGACGGTCAGATTGCACGTGATGGTCAAACCATTTAAAAAGCAACTAGCAATCATATTGAAGCTGTTACGTTTACTAGAGGTTCTCATGGAACACTGATAAAAGGAGGCCGGTTGTTTGGCTCATAATTTACATTGTATGTTCCTGATAAGGTTTGTAGTATCTCTTTGTGGAAGTCTTTGGGGTCTAATTAGGATTTTATTACAGACTCATCCATGGAGAGTTCTATGAAATAGAATCAACTAAAAATAAGTTGTCAGATGTGGAAAGTCAAATCAAATGAATGAGCTCGGTAATATTTTTCCTGTTTTGTTAGAACTTTACAATTTTCTGTGTTTAAAGGAGAACTATGAGGTGAGTGCTTTTCACTCACCTCATAGTTCGAGCCGACCTGTGACAATGAGACTGTCGCAGGTCGGCCCAGTAGATCGGGAAGTGAGCGAACACATACCAGCGTTCGCTCACCTCTCGATCCTGTCACGGCTCTCTGCCGTGACAGGGGAGGGGCTGGATTCCCCGCTCCGATCCGCCATCGCTGACTGGTGGAACGGACGGGGGAGGGTACAGCTGGCTCTGCCTCTAGATAGGCAGAGCCAGCTGTCAGTCACGCAGCTGGGCGGATCCCGGCATAATTGTTAGGTTCAGCTGCGGCGTCTCAGTATACCACACTCTGTAGCTCGCGGTATACTGAGCCTAGGGTGACGGGAGGACGCTAGTTTGTGTCCTCCCGTTACCCTAAGGAGAACTATGGGGAAAAGCCTTAACCCCATAGTTCTCCTTTTTAAAGGAACTTGTCAGGATGGTGTATGGAAGCTGTCATTGCCACCTTGTCCTTCTTATTCTTTGCTTCACAAATGAAGTCACAGACTTGGGACAGGTGGGCCGATTTGAAGCGTCAGTCTTACTGAATTTATAACTTGCTCAGACACAGTAGGGAAATGGACACGTGCCACGGCTTTCCCTTTTAAGGACAAGTCTGCAACTGAAGCTACAATATATCTGCCCTGAGATTCCCTTTTATAGAAAAGTGATAGAAATATGTAGGCTGCAGTTCTTGGTATGCCTACCCACTGACCACCAATGTAAGGAGCATTCTGACCGCCAATGTAAGGAGCGTTCTTCCCACTGACCACCAATGTAAGGAGCATTCTTCCCACTGACCGCCAATGTAAGGAGCATTCTTCCCACTGACCGCCAATGTAAGGAGCATTCTACTCACTGACCGCCAATGTAAGGAGCATTCTTCCCACTGACCCTGAATGTAAGGAGCATTCTTCCCACTGACCGCCAATGTAAGGAGCATTCTACTCACTGACCGCCAATGTAAGGAGCATTCTTCCCACTGACCATCGATAAAAGAAGCCATGCCTAGCGAATGTCTCGGAACCCTTCACAGACCCGGTGCCTGCCAAGTTTCCCATTTTGATGTAAACATGGTAAACGTTACGATGTTTCCTGATGGTTGTACTTCTGTAATTCTTTTTCCAACTCTTGTGTAAAAAATAAATACAGAAGAGATCAACGAAATGCAAAGCTTGTGATTGGCTGAAGAAATTGATAAGGATTTCTGCATTTACAATCTGAACACTTTTGTCTTTCAGGGCTGAACTAGAAAAACACGGATACAAAATGGAGACGGCGTAACCGCGGAGGATCACAGGCAGCGCTTTGTAATGGCTGTGTAAAATTTTTTTTTTCTTTGTGTTTTACAATAAATATTTTGTTCTCGTGTAAAGCGGTTTAGCGATTTCATTGCCACAAACGGCTCTGTTGTTACCACAAAGATTTATTTATACTTTGTTTAATAAAGACTGAAGGATTGCCGAAATAAGTTTGAGAAGTGATGTGTTTACAGCCTTGAACGTTCACGGGAAACGGAGCCAAAAAACTTGTGTTGTAGTATAAAGAGCTTTAAAGAGACCCTGTCATTAATTGCATGTAAAAGCTCAGAGGAGTCAAGTATTTTAAACACTTTTTGCAGTTTTTTCTTTTCCATGAATCATTATTTTTTATTTGCTTTTAATGTGCTGCCCTCACCTATAACCTTTTATGTAGTTGCTGTGGAAGGAGCCAAGGGGAATACTATAGACAAAGGGTAGTGAATTCAAATTCAAAGCGGCCTGGTGAATAACATTTTAATTGAGCCGAGGTCTGAATTGCGGTCCAGACAGAACAGTGACTCAGTTCATGTGTGTGCCACGGCGTGCCATTTAGGCTGCATTCACCCAGGCACAGTGCTGATGTTGTGATAATTTTTTTGTTAGAAGTCTTCCCTCCATAACAAGCCCATATGTGACTGCATTTGGAGGTGACGGGTGATCTTTATGGAGACATCAGGGGTCTATTAGACTCCTGATGTCTCCCCTGCACTCTAACACAGATGATGAAGCACAGGAACCTGCTTCATCATTTTTACAGCTGAAGCAGGAAACGCTGGGAGAACAGCGCTTGATCCTTCAGTGATCACAGCAGATTTTGGGATAGTGGAAGCAGACGTTCCCCCGGTCTGTTCCCACGCTCCTTCCTGACACTATTTACTGTGGTCCCGGGCCCTCCACAGGAATAGGGGACCCAAAAACCACGGAGGGTAAAAAACCTGCATAACTTATGTGAAATGCACATGTAATCTTGTGGGAAGGTGATTGTTGAACTCAATGGTCTATCCACAGGGGCCGTTTAAAGTGGCTCTGTACTTAGTAGTAAGTAAGGAAATTACCAGTCTCCCGGGATAGCAGGCGTTGTGGAAAAGGCCCCTCCTCCCGAATTGTGGCCTCTCTGAAAGGAATTATGTACAGCTTACTTTGCTCCCTTGCCTGCATTTAGGCTTGGTGATTGCCTACCCAGGAAACAAGCAATACATTGTGTAAGAAGGGGCAGAGCATGTCATGTTCCCACATTCCTAGAAGGACCTGGTCATTTAACAGCTCTGCAGGAAGATCATTGAATAGGCAACTCTGGAAAGTAAGAGCAAATCCCTTATGGCGCCCACCACCACAAATGGATCCCTTACTCTCTGTATGGAAGCAGAGGTCCAGCACACGTCCTGTTAAATTCGAGCTTGAGGTCTGCAACCAGAGCTCTAGCCCTGACTCAGCAGGTGGCATGTCAAACCTATACAGAGAGGCCATTGCTTCCATGCAAACAGCAAGGGTTCCTTTTGCATACTGTGAGCTTCAAACAGCGTGCATTAGAAGCTGCAGTGAGTCAGAGCCTCATTTCTGCGTTTGAAGACATCAAAGTGGAACCAGGGAAGCCAAAACATAAGCGGTTTAAACTTCAGATATATCGGTCAATTGGGTTTTAAGTGTTTCTATATAAAAGGAAATTATACTCAGTTTTAACCTTGTTTCACCTTTCTAAGAGCATACACCAGGCGTAGCCAAACTCCGGCCCTCCAGCTGTGGTGAAACTAAAAATCCCATGATGCATCTCTCTTTTTTTTTTTTTATACTGTAATTGTACCTGACTGTTACAGCATTAAACAAACAAACACTGCTAACTTCAGGCTGCAGGCTTATTTATGTCAATGAAGCCTCCAGCCTAGCCATAGGTGACATAGTGCATACATGATTGGTTCTTAAACATCAGTGGGGTCCGGAGCTGTCACAGCAAGGATAGGGAGCCACAGCTGCCCCAAAGTTTCAGCTATTGGCTCTCAATGAGAAGACATTTTATTAATGTGTCCCCAGTGTGGTGCACCCTGGTGAGGGGGACATTAACACAATATAGAGATTGGGGGCAGAAAGGGGTTAATCCTCCCGTCCCAACCCATACATACCTTTCTTTCGCTCCCCAACCATTCAGTGAAGTAGCCAGGAACCCCATCCTGTGTAAAGTTGCCCATACGCCTTACGAACATCGCCCTGTTTGCGATCGCGTTTTTGTCCGATATTCGTACGGTTGATGGGCAGTGTACAACCGCAAATACTTACAATCGTACGACGTTCGTCTTTCCAGCATGCTCGAAAACTTCGGTCGATCGCACGATTTTCGCAAAGGTTGGTGGCGTTTCCGAACGTCAAAATTCGCAGGATTAACACTGTTTATGCGTAAACGAAAATCCGTGCGGTCGAATAACCAAATTCGTCCAGGTGATCTCTTCTAAAGACCGCTAATTGAACTGTGCGATGGTCGGGGCAGGATGGGGCCGCCGTACGTAAATCGTACTAAGGTTCGCTCATCGGGTGTGCAAGGTGTATGGGCAGCTTTAGTCGTTCATACCATAGCTAAAGCAGGGGCTATAAACTCCTCCCCATGTGACGGAATTAGCGCACCGTGATTGGCCCACTGCATTCACATGCTTCTCCACACGCCTGGAGCAAATACCATGGGAGGTTATTAAAGCAAACCTGTTGGCGGTGAGGTAGCCCAGTTATTTTGCGCGTTGAGCATTTATCTAAATCACTTTGGCTGTTTCTGAACACGGGGGGGAAAAAAAACTTGTTTCTCCACCATCCAGCGAGGACTACGTGGGTCGACTGACAAGTTCACGGCAACAATTGTCACCTGAAATAGCATGCCGGGAAACTGAGTGTAACCCTGGGAGAAATAGATGGGTCGGAATTTTGCAATGAAATTATCTGCAGTGTTCTAGGGGACACATACCTCCATCTGCACTTCAATTACCCTCGTCTATAACCTCCATTAAGAGGGAGAAAAAAAATGAAGGATATCAAGAAGCTCTCAATGGGGTCGTTTGGCTGTAAATTCTTGACAGGCTCAACCTATGGCGCGACTCTATATTCCATCCTCGTGGTCACGCTCGCTGATTGCTCTTTGCGATTCCCGAGGAGCGATCTGCGAAAAAAAACTGTCTGGCTAATGAAAGCTGAATTGGTCCCACCGCCGTTTAGCTCAGCGGGTTAAAGTTGAAGGAAGAAAAAAATATCTAATTTATCGGAGGAGGAGGGATGGAGCTGTAAGGAAGATGATGAAACTGCAAGAAAATAAGGGCGGAGGGAGAATCTTTATTGTAAGAAACGAGCGCATTTCCGCGTTACCGTTTCTCCCTCATTAAACGCTTGCCCTGCTACCGCTGTGCTTAATTTTCCGTATTTATGAGCGCTATTATGATTACTGTGCGGTTAAACAAGCGGCTGCTTCCGTCGCTCTATGAAAATGCGCTTTGGTGCCTTTGTAGTATTGAAAATAGTTCCTCGGATAGAAGGCTTTGATGTTACGTTTAAAGAACGTCAAGCAACCGATAACGGCGGTCCACCGCTACCGCTGTCCAGGAAGCGCTGCAGCCAGGGCAGGATTTCCCACAAGGCCAACCAAGGCCTGGCGTAGAGGAGCAGCAGGAGTGTGGAAGTTGTGCAGTTCCGGGTGCCGGGCGGGTAGTTGTTTTCTACATTTAGCCCTGCTTTGGGCAAGCAGAGCTAAATGTACAGCGGTGAAGCCGCCGCTTATTTTGTACAAGTGATCCCGACGATGTCGCCGAGATCACTTGCATGCAGCCTGCATAGAGAGTACATACGGAGCTATGGCCGTGAGGGAGCTCCATCCATACATGCATTGCTTTACAGCTCCCTCGCATATCCTATAGAGGTGCCTTGACTGGAGTGATGTCATGTTCTGACTCCCGACACCAGGCGTGCAAGGGGGGTTGTACAGGCAATGCACATATGGAACCAGAACCAGCATTCACTTTTCAGCAATTTAAGTTACAGTAGCTCTTCTATTGAACCGGACTACACTGGCCGGCCTTCACTCCCCATGTGCATCAATCAGCCTTGGCCGCCCTTGACCCTGTCACCAGTTCACCGGTTTTCTTTCTTTGGACCACTTTTGGTAGGTCCTGACTACTGCAGTCCAGGAACATCCCACAATAGCTGAAGTTTTGGAGTTGCTCTGACCCAGTCGTCTAGCGTCTCTATTTGGCCCTTATCAAAAGTGCTCGAATCCTTACGCTTGCCTATTTTTTCTACTTTCAACACATCAACTTCAGGGACTAAATGCTCACTTGCTGTGTAATATATCCCCCCACTTCCAGGTGTCATTGTATTATACCCCACCCCCCACTTCCAGGTGTCATTGTAATATATACCCCCCACTTCCAGGTGTCATTGTAATATATCCCCCCCCACTTCCAGATCCCATTGTAATATATCCCCCCCCACTTCCAGGTGTCATTGTAATATATCCCCCCACTTCCAGGTGCCATTGTAATGAGATGTTATTTATTTCACCTCTCAGTGGTCATAATGTTTAGCCTGATCGGTGTATATGGTAATCATTTCTTGTTGTGTCCCAAGGCCTATTCCATAGAAGCCATGGTTTCCATACATGGCGCTGATAATCCAGCCTATGTCCTGTTGACACCCTTTAGGGACACATCATCCCACCAGCCTTGGCTGACCTGGACAGCATGGGCCTGGGCCTGCTTCTTAACGCTCCCGCTAGCATAACACACATATGCGTCAGCACGGTGGATGGGATTTATCGCCAGCTGTACGCAGTTATGGGTCCAGACAGACTGCTGTTCTGTGCTGAGAGTGCGCTCAGCTCACACGCTCACTCTCATGCTCCCAGCACAGTGGCTGAGTAACCATTTATGTTCAGGAGCCAGTGGGACGTGCTCTCAATCATGTGGCCACTGCAATAGTCAATCACATTGATCACATGAGCCTGCCTCCACTTCCCATAATC